CTAATAAGATTTGCCTCTTCCTCTACCAAAGGGCCGTAAATATCCCCCAGCTCTGTGAGTAACGTGACGGTTGTCAGGGTCTGCCTTCGAAAATGCAAACGAATGCACGGTGAACAACTATAATCCCAACTACGTGTCCCCCGAAAGAGCTCCTTTTCCCATGCCGTGTTTCATAGCGCACATTCTGCAGGAGAGAACACAGAAAAAGGCTGGTTTTCTTGACGTCATTGCTGATGGCTTGGTCTTGCGGCATGAGGCAATATAGAAGAAAACGATTCAGATGCGACAAAATTTTGTTGCATAGCAGAGCTAAAAACTCCATCTTGTCTACGTTACTGAGTTTCATTAAATGCATATGAAGTGACGATTTTCATAGCCCCGAAGCATTTCTTTAAGCTACAATGATCGACGCTGAATTGAATTCATTCTTTAAACATGCCAAATGGTCCAAAACATCACTATATTTCCGAAAGATTTTAAGTGTATGAGTAGAAATAAATAATTTCTGCAGATTTACCCAAATTCCAAGGTTTTTAGGCATCTTTTTAAGCACCTCAGGCAACATGAAAAATTCGCTCGTATACAAACTATGTATGATTCATAGATTCACAGACTGATACGCGGGATCGAGGCTTTCGCATAAGCTAGACGAATCGGATTTGTTCGTGTTCATGTTCTCGTGGGTTCTATTGGCTAATTTCTGGTTCACGGTGGTCCAACACATTAGATGTAACAGATCGTCTTCTTCTAGCTTTTAAACTTTCGGTAAGATATTTGGGGCCCATTTACACAATATGCCGAATTCTTTTAAATAGCATTTGGCCTAGCCGACTGCGTGCTGATTTTTTGGGATGAACAGAATGTCCGCTTCGTTAACTTTTAGGGCAGTGGTAAGTTGAAATTGGTCATGAAAGCTAATCATTTTTTGGGATGTCCATGCCAGAAGTTTTGATTTGTAGTGGTCTGGCTACCCAGTAAGTTACTTTACCAGGGGTGTGTGGCAAAGTAGTAAAAACAATTACACCAGATTCATCATGCAATAATAAAGAGGTCAAGTGGAACAGACCCGCTAAGAATTGTTCACTTTGAAATAGTTCGTCGTTGGCTCAGGTCAGCGAAAAACAATAATCCAATCATGGTTGCTCATGGATCTTCTTCCGAACACTTCCCACATATAATAGATTCCAAAGCAAGTGTGAAATGATTTGATAACAATGTTGGCACATTAGACTCGCGAATGACCGCTGCAAGGGTGAGGGAAATCAGGAGAGAGAGGGAGTCGGAGCAGGCGACCTCGTTTAATGGGATGAAGTTGTGCAAATAGGTGTTTTTGTAGTTTTTTTGTATTCAAACACAAAACGGATCATACAATTGACAAAATATGTAATGTTGTAATGGAAGGAAAATAAACGTACAAAATACCACAGATTTCAGTTTAGAGATTCCGGATTTCTGGGCCAGTAGCATGTGGAATCTCCATGTCCCAGCGTAAATTTAACTAACATTTGATCTACCAAATATACTACGTTGGTGATAACCAAATTCATCGGAGCTAATAGTTGACCTGCGCGTCATTTGTTTGGTGCGACGTAATGATTCTTCGAGGTGTTCTGTTTAACGAATTCGGTCAGCGCCGCCGCAAAATGTTCGACAGACTCGATGGGCTTGGGATCTATCCAGAAGACCTTGGAAGATTTAAAATCATTTGTTAGCAAGAGATGTGTGAAGTGTTAGCTGGAAAACAGTTGATCAAGTGTTCCTTTGAGAAACAGTTCATCCTCCGGCTGACTTGAGGGAAAGCGGTAGACCACGCCGAGAGGAAGCTAACTGGTTCCACGCAGCGGGATTTGAATCTACAGTGTACCGCAGAAAACCGCGGAAATGGAGTCGGAGAGGACACTCAGAATGGTTAGAACTGTACATTAAAATAAAGCAACCCTACATGCCCTCCCGCGTTTCAAGTCAGGTCAAAAGATTGAACGGCCACCTATAAAGATATCCGCGTCAGAGACGCCTTATGTGAGCCAGGCCTCTGTGAGTGCGATCACGGACGGCCGTTCAAGGCGAAGTGACTGCTTTATACCGGGGAGCTTGTTGCACAGGTTGACGCAGTTTCTGTACAAACACTTCAGCACCATCTCTGCTGCGTCTGAAGGTGTGACGACAAGAGACGCGCTACCACAGCTGTTGGCATGTTTATTGGCTGCACACCGGGTTCGATTCTAAGGCTCTGTACGGAACATAGCGGCGTACTTGTCTGCTTCCTGCCTTGATGTTTTCGAGAGCAGCTTTTCGCCTGCAGAATTTTTTTGCCCATGAGAGTCCGGTCTCGCACAGGCCCTTGGCCTCTGAGGGACGTAGCTTTTCATGGGCGGTTAAAAACTTCGATAGCAGCTACTCATAGCCCGTACAATACTAGCTTTTTGACTATTGGATTTGCAGTTGCTCAAAGACGTGCGGTGAACCTGTGTCCGTTTGGTTTCCTGTGCTTTTTGGCGCGGTTTGATTGCTAAGTTGAGCTCCCAAGGATCGCCTGTGCGTTGGAAGGCACCACCAATGTGTGGCATTTCCAAGATATTCGTTTTTGCAGAGGACTGCAAAAAATGAAAACGGCACCGCTAGATTTTGTATACAATAATAAAGGGGGTCAGATGCAACAGACTAAGAATCCTACAGTTGTCCATGGATCTTTTGAACGATTCTCACAAATAATGAAATCCAAAGATAGCCTGAAATATTTCAATATTTGCGTCAGCGCATGAAACTCGCGCATAACTGCTGCAGGAGCCAGCAAATTCAGAGGTGAAAGCGGAAGCACGTGAACGCGCAGGCCAACTACCATCCCTCTTGGATTTGGTCATCACCAACGAAAACCACTTCGTTGATCAGGTAACAAGTAACGCTCCACTGGGGCATGGCGACCACCGTGTGCTAACCTTTGATTTCATCTGCTATCGGGCCAGAAATCCCAAACCTCAAACGTGGTTTCGAGACTTCTGCCGTGCAGACTTCTCAGGAATGCGCATCTTCCTTGAACAAGTCACACTGGTACCAGCTCCGGTGGAAGAACCATATGGGACCATTGTCCAGAAAGTCCACGAGGCTGACGCGGCATTCGTCCCAAGAAAACC